AATTTTTAATAGTTTTGTGTATTTGTAAATTATAAAAGTTTAGGGTGTTTATTTTTACAATTTTAAAAACTTTTGAGGGTATTTCTTTTATAATTTTCTAAAAATTTTCATTGTGTTTTTAATGTGATGCATAGATACATAAATTAATGATGATATTGAAGAGTAAATTATTCTTAAGATGTATTAGGCTATAGTTAAGTGTGCACATCACTATTCCTAGACAGTATAGTTTATACATGCAAAAATTTCAAATAATTTATATAGTGGTTAAAATATTTTTGACTTTAATGTACTATTTTTTATAAATTATATTTAATGTGAACTCACAATATAATTTTAACTGTGATCATTACAATTTTAATACGTTTAATCGATTGACTATATAGGTATATAGACCATAGATTACTTTACTTTCTCGCATGAACTAATATTTGGTACTTAATAATTTAAATTATTACTTTTAAATTATATTTATTTATTTACCTACAGGATAATACAAGTTCAATTCCTATTTTTTGCTTGAGATTTATTTTATAGTTACGCGTATCAAATTAGTAACTAAAATAATAATTATTTATGTTTAAATTAGGATGATTGTAGTTGGTCACTCATAATAAAATTTTTATGAAGATATATACCATACTTTTTATAGCTCTCTACATTGCTTATGTATATTTTATAAATTAATTAGTTGTTAATTTGACATATTAAATTATTTTTCCTTTGTAGAAATTTCTTCTTTGACTTTTGGATTATGTAATCACTATGTCACCATTCTAGCGTAGAAATAACCTCATTCTAAATGGCTTCAAGCTAATGTTTAGTTGAACTGAAGTATATAGTATTGTTACTATGTGTATATATTTTTTAAGAAAATCAAGTCGATACTTTTTAAACAGAAAAGAATATTCTAACATCTGATATTATAAAAATAAAATATAGCCAATTGAGTGATTAGCAAAAGAGGACTTACATCAGAAAAATGTGAATAATAAGATTAAGAGGAAAGGTAATGGTATTGCCAATAGTATTACCAATAGCAAAGTACAATGTAAAGTTAACCTATTTTGTGGAGCCCAACTACTGGCTATAAGCGTCAAGGTTTTCATATATATACTTTATAATTTATTAAAAAGGGTATATAATCTTATATAATAAGATTGATTTAATATTGAGTAGTAATATCATTGTAAATGAGCAATTACAAAGATGTTAGAGACTAACATGTATGTATTTAAGATTTCAGGACGAATATCTTCATAACCTACTTATATAAGCACGCCCACTTTGTCACCTAATTTGTTCACTTTTCTCCTTGCTTATTCTCTACCAATTTTGTCGGCACGCTCGAAGAGAAATAGAATTCATGTCGGTGAGGTCTTCTCTCCCTCTATCCCTCGATCTCATATTTTTTGTTTAAATTAGTTTCTTTAATTCTTTTTTAATAATTTCTTGAACTCATTTCATGCTTCATTCTATGAAGTGCCTTGTTATTTTCAATTTAAATATACTTTTATTCAATTGTTATTTTTTTCTATTTATGGGTCGATTTTGTATAAAAATCATTTTTAAAATACACGGGATTAATAGTCGCGTGTAATTAGAGAATATTAATTACAAAAGTAATTAAAGTCAGAAAATACACAGGACTACCACTCTTGCGTTTTGCAATCAGAGCCAGAAAATACATGAGACTACTGTCTATATCCTATATACAATATAATTGCTCTAGGCAAGTGAGTTATAATAGCATTTTCCATTCATATTGTTCGAGGTAAGATTTGATAGGGTCCTTGCATTAAAGAGATTTTTTATATTTAAAGTACATGGCGAAATATATCATAATCTCACTGCTCTAATTTCGTAAGAAAATAATTCTTCATACTTTCAGTTTTACTTTTATGGTACGGAGAATGAGCTATAAAATTGAATGAGAATATTAGATAATGTAAATATGAGTAAAACCACAACTAAAAATTAATATGAATATGAGCCAAACCACAACTAAAAGTTTAATGGACATATTGTAAATAAATTCATATGCAAAATTCCTTTGCGAATTAAATGATCACCCATCTTTTAAAGACTTCAAGATACTAATAAACAAAGATATTGTACTAGATTAATGTGTTTATAACTCAGAAATAGTAGATCACATGGCGACACTCTAGGTTGAAGGAAACAATGAAAATATTTCATTTGAAAGAGAGATTATTGTGTTGATAATCAATCCCGCAAAAAACTTTATTTTCTCTTTTATTTTTTTCTATTTTTATCAATTAAAATAACCATGATATTCGGCCACATGCATTGCACGTGCAATCTAACTAGTCTAGATAAATATGTCAGATAAACAAACAATGAGAAATATATGCTATTTCTGAATGACTCAAGAATATAGATGTCGAAACCCCAAATAAGTAAGTAGCTTACTGATGATAATTTTGTTCATTGCATTTGAGATTTATTTCTTTGAAATAGGAGGATAATAGTGCATATGATAAATACATGTTTGTGTTCAAAGTCATGCCAAAAAAGTACTCACTATACACATTCAACTTGAAATTGCATATTACGAAAAAAATGAAGAAAATAGAATCTCATTTAATAAAATCAAATATTTAACAAGAAGTAGATCTGTAATTCTTCTTTCATTTACAAATGCATGTAAATGACAATATATTATGATTAGAATATTATAAGATCATATGTGGATTTGTACGTATAATTTCTAATGATAAGTTAATGATAGGATTTTTTTTCCCCTTCTTTTTTAATATTGTCCTTTCTATTTCATTTTTCTATAATGGTTTCTCTTTCAACTAAGCAGTAAGCATGATTTTGCCTAATTTATTATAGTCACTAGATTTAAATGATAAGCAGATACGAATATGATAAGTATATTGTTTCTGAACCGTTTAATTGCACCCCTCCTAGTAAGTGATGTTTGATACATGAGATTCTGAATGTGCTTGGCAGGTCTCTCAAACTTTTTGGGTAGATGGTAGTACATGAAAATACAAAGATATCAACTTAGCATTCGTAAGGGAAATTGTCTTTAGTTTGTTTTATTTATATTTTGTCTTATGTAATATTAATCTTATTCTTCTCTTCAAAGATTATGGCTCCGGGATTAGGATCGCCCTTTACTTGATTTGCTCATCTTTTTTGTTATTGTGAATGGAAAATTGGGACTACAGCTTTGATACAGTTGATATTACTAATTAACGTCCACCAAACTAATCCATGTATGCAATGAGTAATGACAAGGTCCGCTCCTCGTCCTCATAGATTTCTTCTCTATTAACAACTAAGAGACCGATCTCTTAGTTCATAAATTTTAATCTGTTTATATTTCTATATAAATATAGTTTTGAGTAAGGCATCTTGCCCTATTTTTCCTTTTTAAAATATTAAAATTTAAAAAGCTAGCATGGATATCAGAAAGAAACACAGGTTTATACATACAACCACACTGCATTAGATTCAGCTCAGTGAAAGCAAACTCATCAAGAAACACCCATCAAATATAACAAACACTTTTTGTAGCATTCACTGAGGCTTGATACTGATAAATTGAGGGGGGTGGGGGGGCGGGGGGGGCGGGGGAGCTCATCACATGGTTCAACTTCAGTTGCCATTTCTATTTCTTGATGTAGATATTGTTTGACATTGCTCGTTCAACTTCAGTTGCCATTTCTATTTCTTGATGTAAATATTGTTTGACATTGCTCTTTCTTAAAGAGAAAGCGCCTGTATATATATATATATTCTTCCTACTGATTGGTACCAGTATCAAGTACACGGAATTTTCCAGTGCAAGTTCTCACACCAAAAATAATGAGAAAATGTAGGAAAAGGGTTGCTTAGGCTTTACTTTCCTCAGATACCAAGTTACCATTGTCTGCTATATACATCATACTTGTCCAAAATCTGGTGTAATTAGTTGGTGGATCTGAGAATTTGGTGGGTTTGATTATTATTCAACAAAAATTGTTAGAAAAAGAAAAAAAAAAGAATTAGGGGAAGTTAGCTACTAACACCTAATAGGCCAACTTTTTTTTTCCTCCTCATCAGTGCTTCAGTTGGTTTTGAGTTGACAGTTCAAATTATTTGGACCAATCAACCGATATAGAGAGCTTGCAAGAGACATCCAAGTACGTTTATCTATCATTTATGAGGAACTTTAAACATAATCATGCCAATATAATTATAAAATTTAAGAGAGCATAATTTGAAAATTGATATTCCACCCTAGAAACTAGTCCTTTAATCTTATTAATTAGGGTTACACCACATTTTACCTTTTCCCAATTGGAAGCGGCCCCTTATAGTTCTGTTATTGCAGATAGACCCCCTGACTGGAATTTGTTGACTCCTTCGCTCTCAGAGAAATAGAAAATTGTTTGTTTGTTTTTTCTTTGGCAAACAAACCTCCTATGGGTAAAAGAGTCAAAACAATGTCATTCAAGAGGTCTATCCTCAATTGGACGATAGCACAAAAGGCCTATGCGTAATAATATAACTACATAGGGTCTATTCGATATCAGAACATCTTGTACAAGTCGAGAGTTAGCATGGCATTTAACAAAATATGCCCGTATGAGTAGTTACTCATGCTTTAATCAGTTTCTGCTAGATGAACCCTTTAATTAGTTAATTAGTTGCAAATTTTTTAACCACATCTACATTGGATACCCACCGTGGGTGAACCAGACGTTTGGGATATTACAATATGGCTCTCACAGTCATGGTTTCGGTTCCGGACTGAATTATAAAATTTTATTAAAAAAAATTACATCTACACTGTGCATGATGAGATCTTCAGCAGTCCAAATTACTCCATTTGAACCAATATCCATCAGTTATTCTGATAACTACACCACACCTAAATACCATTGATAAGTCCAACATCATGTGTGCTATTTTCAGTACCAAATAACATTTCCCTTCAAAACTTTCCACCTTCTAAAAACTTCCAGGCTACTCATTGAACCTCTCTCACCAAATGAATCCCAACAGCATCTCAAATGCTTTAGTTTTCTTGTAACCTTTGCTCAAACAAAAGCAAAACATGGACACTAACCACGCAAAAACTAGTAATTAAAAAGAGTTCTCTTAAGAAAGCCTCAGTTCACCAAATCCTCTTCCCTCTATAACACGATTCCCTTATATCCCACATCTCACAATCTCTCAGTTCACTAATTTACTCCAAATGCATCAGTTTCGTCGCAAAGCTTCGCTCGTCAATTCAGAATCGTTCACTATGAAGCATCGAAAGAATGGCAATCTCCCAATATTTATTGTGGTCTTCTCTATCATTCTCTTCGCCATTTTCATTTATAATGAAAATGCAAATGTAGTAAAGTCCTTAGCGGAGTTTCCCTTCAATCTTAGCTCAAAGCCGCAGGAAATTATACAAGAAAACATCGAGAGAAAGAGCAAAAAGACAACAGAAGAAGCTCAACAAGAGCACAAAGTCGAAACAAATATCAAGACAGAAAGTGTTACTGATTCAAAGAGGGATGATCAGCTTCCTGCGCTGATAGAGGAAGCGTTTGAAGGGCGAGCTGAGGTTTTAGAGCGCAACGTGGTGAATGTACCTGAATCGTGTGATCTTTTCACTGGCGAATGGGTTTATGATGACATTGGACATCCTTTGTATCACGAAGATGAGTGTGAATTTCTCACTGCACAAGTAACTTGCATGCGAAATGGGCGTGTTGATGAGACGTTCATGAAATGGAAGTGGCAGCCCCGAGATTGCTCATTGCCAAAGTAAGTGTCTGATGTTAGTGTGTATAAAAAGTTGAGATCAGGTTGTTAAAATTTTGTTTGTGTATTACAGGTTTGATGCAAGATTGCTCTTGGAGAGAATTAGAGGGAAGAGGCTCATGTTTGTTGGTGATTCACTGAACCGGAACCAGTGGGAGTCGATGGTGTGCTTGGTTCAGTCCGTCGTGCCTCCGGGAAAGAAATCGCTGAACAAAAGTGGATCCCTCGCAGTTTTTCGAATCGAGGTACAAATCAAGAATGTTAAGATGATACAACCCTTTACTGTATGGTATACTGTATAGCTACTTATAGATCACCAATGCTCCATTTTATTAGCATATACAGCTCTGACTGACTTCATGATGACAATGTCTTTTTCTTAGTTTTTATCAGGAATGTTCTTGACAAATGCCTGATTCTCAACATCAGGTGATTCTGATAGAAGTTTAACAACTCATAAAAATCATGTCATCACAGAATTAGGAAATGCATGCGCTAAGATAATGCAACATAAATGATAATTAGTTACGCCTCCATATTAACGAGGCATATCTATAGATAGTCGTAGAGTAGACAATACTGTCACGGGATGCGCTCATGTTGTAATACTGAAACAGGAGTACGACGCAACGGTCGAATTCTACTGGGCGCCGTTTCTCGTGGAATCGAACTCTGACGATCCAACAATGCATAGCATCCGGGACAGGATCATCATGCCCGAGTCCATCGAAAAGCATGGGGAGAACTGGAAGGGGGTGGACTTCCTCATCTTCAACACTTACATTTGGTGGATGAACACTTTCAATATGAAAGTCCTGTAAGTAGAGCCACTCAAGCTACCGTCATGTTGTGAAAAATATAACTATAACATAATCGAAGCTACGGTTTTCCGTTATTTCGAGTGCAGGAGAGGGTCATTTGCTGAAGGGTCGACAGAGTATGACGAGGTCGATAGGCCTGTAGCATATGACAGAGTATTAAGGACTTGGGCTGAGTGGGTTGATGAGAATATTGATGCCACGAAAACAAAGGTCTTCTTCAGCAGCAGCTCCCCCCTCCACATAAAGTAAGAACACTGGCCTACAACCTCTTAATTTGTTCATGTACATGATGAAAACTACTACTTCATGCAGGTAGAATAATACGAAATTTGACGTGTTTATATGCGCGGTGAAATAGTATTAGCAAGCCTTTGGTTGGTACTAATATTATTGTATTAGAAAGCCACACCTATTATTAGAACATTCCTCTCTTAAGTTAACAACCTATCCTTTTTGCTTACACCTTTTAAAACCAAACTAACAATCATGGAAACTTAGCTTTATGGTAGACCTTCGAACATAAGCAAATTATTATTAACAAAACGTGTCCTGTTTCGCTTACCCATTCCCATCAAAGAATCACCATCACCGTGCTCACCATCAAAGCTTCATTCAAAAGCAAGCTATTATTAGCTACAAAAAGCGTATCACATAATGTTCGTCAAACATTTTATTTATTTATTTATTTATTTCATATTATAACAATTTTACGGTATAAACCAAATGTAGGAGCGAGGATTGGGACAACCCTAACGGTATAAAATGTGCGAAGGAGACGATGCCAATCCTTAACAGAACCGCGCCATTTGACGTTGGAACAGATTGGCGCTTATTCGTAATAGCAACCAACATTACGAGTTCAATGAAGACTCCGGTGTTTTTCGTGAACATAACGAAACTATCAGAATATAGAAAAGATGCTCACACCTCAGTGCATACAATAAGGCAAGGAAAAATGCTAACACCTGAACAACAAGCTGATCCTGAAAATTTTGCTGATTGCATTCACTGGTGCCTCCCGGGCCTCCCAGATACGTGGAACGAGTTTTTGTATGCTAGGATTGCTTCGCAACCTTGGGAAGCTTGACGATAGCTTCAACCCTTTCCTCTAGTTTCAAAAAAGAAAAATTTTTTAATCTTCTTCGTTTCTTGAAGAAAAATTGTTTTGTTTTTTGTTTCTAATTGATTTTCGTTATGTAAGATGAATCAAGAGAAAGGGTTAGATTTTTTGAGCGTCAAATATTACCGGTCACAAGACAATATTTGTAAGTTCTAAAGCATGCCTTTCGGGAACTGTATATTGAGCTCTGAAATGAGGAAAAAATGATAATATTAAAGAAAGAAAATTTGTTCAGAATCATCCTTTTTAGTCCAAAGTAGGTAGTAGACTCTGATGACCTTCCAACAAGAAGTGAAAAAAGGATGTGGACCTTACTTAACAAATCGTCATAATTGGATGCCAGTGCTTGCTTAAAACTGAAGCAAGAGGTAAGCATAAGCAAAATGAAGGAAGCAGGTGAAGAAAATTGATCACCAACCAAACTTATGACACACAATCATCGTGCATGAATAAAAATCTTTTAACTGAACAAGGAAAACAAAAGAAAATAAAAGAAAAACATACTACTACAGAACCACAGCTCCAAATTATTTTAAAATATTGAAAAATTCCAGAATAAATATTGATGTCAATGGCCCGCAAAACTGAAGCTCAAAATAAATAGTTATAGACATTCATCCTGACTACAGAACTCCTGTCACTCAACAGTATGCAACTTTCGCCATCATAACTTACACTGGAAAGTAATTGATGAATGGTCTAATACAAAATTAAAATTTACGTTACACAAAATTAAAGACATTTTTTAGTACAATTCTATAAATAATCAAAAGACAGAACTGTTATCATTTGAATATTTAAAGATTTATAGAGTTATTATAACCCGTACACGCTGATTACATTAATATATTTACACTGGAAAGTCAATTAGGCACAACTCCGGCAAGCATAAATAATAATGCCAGCTGCACTCATAACCTCATGTATCGAGTGGGACCATGATAATACATGCAATCTCTCTCGAAGAACTGCAGAAAAGAGAAGGAAGCCATGTTGTCGTTACTTTTTCTCACTCTTGATATCTCAAGGTTTTAGCATCTTGATGAAACCAGGAATTTGTCAATTTCAGTAAGTGCTCTGACATGAGTTTCGGGCAAAAACAAGCGCAGTAGAGGAACCACAGAGGTGGGCACCGTAATTTTTTCATTTATCTTTTTAATTGCTGAGTTTATGACATGTGAAGGGGGTACATTATACCATTGAAGATACCAAGCGAGAAGCATAGAATCCACCTTTTCTCCTTTGGGCCACTCCCCTGAAGTCAAATAATTGAAGAAGTCAACTTTGAGCTTCTCAGGAGATGCCAAAATCTCTTGAACGTGCCTCCTGAGAGATTCTACGAATGTAGACTGAACTATACCTCCCTTCGTTGAGGTAAGTTTGCCACTCATTACAGCCTCGTTATAGGCTAATGCAAGCTGCATCAAGGAATGACAGTCATAAAATCAAAAAGATACCTAGCACTTTACCAATGAAGAGTCCACCCTATCACATTATTACGTAATGATTACAGCTTAGTCAAAATATGATTGTAGAGAATGATAAATAGCAAAGTGATAGAAAGCAAAAGAAGGAAAAAAAATTTTAAGCTAAATTTCTCTAGTAACAAATAAAATGTTACATTATAATAAGTGGCAACTGCCAAGGTAAAGTATTGTATACTGTGTATTTCCTTTTCTTTTGGGATCTCAAAAATTTCAAAAAAATTTGGACATGTTGTAGGTATTGTAGGTTTTTTGTTACAGGATAGTGCTATAATATCCTGCTTTTTCACATCTTCAAAAGTTGTGGATCTCCTCTTTTTTTTTTTTTTTGGTAAGCTTTTGGCTATTCTTGCCATCAATAAATAAAATTGACATGTTTGGCCAGGGACCTGCGCGAATTTCGAGCTAAACATAAAAGGTATTGTACACAAATGACACGACTAAATTTGTAATAGGAAGAGTCAAATCAATAAAATAATTATGGATAAGCATAATAGTTATCTGTAGAACTGTGTAGTTTGTCATCATGTCCACGTTTCTATTTCCTGATCTGGTTCTGATGCTTCTATTAACAAAGTCAATATCCTAATTGCTCTTCAACTATTGTGATAAAATTTTTTTAAAAGGAAAGAGTAAAACACTTACCTTCAAACTTGAAAGGAAACAGGAATCATGAAAAATGAGATGACTGCTATTCACTTGCTCCCACATTGAACCAATAATTGTGTACAATGAAAGGTAGACCTGCAAGCTCAGTAGCAAATTAAAAATTTTGGACAAGAATGAGAAATTTACAAGAGAAAGAGATAGAAAAGAAAAAAGAGATGTAACTGTTTAATGTACCTGCAGAAGAGCTGGCCTATCTTTGCTAACACACTCAAATAGTACTTGTGAACAAAACTCCTGAAAATTGGAATCTAATCTGCAAATTTGGAGGTAGTTCAAATATGTCAGAGAAACTGAAACAAAAAATTGTGTGCATGTGCATGTTATCAGATAGAGAAACAAATAATTGTGTGCATGTGCATGTTATCAAAGAGAGAGAGAGAGAGAGAGAGAGAGAGGATGCCGCAGAGTGAAGATAGACCACTTTGTCAGTAAAGTCGGGAGTAAATGCTCCCTCTCAGAAAAATAAGGAAAACAATCACCTTTCATGTGCACCGAATGAACAAGAGTACTTCAATATGTCCTCGAAACAAAAACTAAGAAATGAAACCATGCTCAGCTCATACTGTTTATCCACTATTTTATATCTTAAAACAAATCAACCTAAAATTCTGAACTATCATTCCCAAACACTAATAGAACCATATAGAATATTATTAAATACTTAAATTCATCTTAAGGGTCACTTCTTGGTAGGTTCTAAATCTCAGTTTATAGAGTCGATATCAAACTGCTCTTTGGGTATGATAGTGCTAGCTCACAAATAGCAGGATCGGATCGCTATCAACAAATTCAAAGTTAAAAAGTATATAATCTAGGAAATCCAAAAATAGTTTGAAATCTGTTGAGTTTTTTCTCCATGTCTGTTGAAAGTCTAAATTAAGCTTTGGTGGGATCTTTTATAATGTGATAGCTGATAGCTTATGTCGCATTAGGTTTATAAATCCAGTTTGGAATTTTTCATTCATCTATAGAAATCTAAATTAAGAATTCCACGATAAAGTTTTAGTAGGTCCAATGTTATAGAAAGCGTTAGGCGAACTAGGCGTTTAAGACCAGCGCATAGTCGCCTAGGCGTTAGGCTATTTTTTAAATTATTTAATTATAATAATTAATAATAATATGTATTAAATTCATATAAAGTTGCAAAGAAAAAGAAAAAGAAAAAAAGATAGCAATCTTAGATCGACAATAAGCCATGCATACTTAAATACTAAATAGCCAAAATAATAACTAACAAGATTATATAAAGCTAGGACACCTAGGCGTTGGACCCGACGCTTAGAGCCTAGGAGGTTTTATTTTTTATTTTTTAATTATAATAATTAAGAGTAAACGTCAATGTTATAGAAAGTTTAGGTGTCGGACTGGTGTTTAGGCGAAGTTTATTTCTTCATTTAAGTGGTGGTCGAGGAGATTTTGCTAAAGGTCAGAGGAGGTAGCGAAGGTGTCCATATTTGGAGGTTAAAGGAGATTAGATGAGGTTAAAGGACGTGGAGGCTGCAACACAGAAAATCACAATCAATGCCTAAAGGGTGTAGTTCATATAAGCAAATAAAGCTCCCTTAAACACTCTCAAAACCTAGGTAGGTAGGTTAGGTACCGCCCAGACGCTAGTTAGGTAGTCTAGATACTGCCTAGGCATAGGCGTAACGCTTAGACAGTCTAGGCGGAGGCTTTTGAAAACAATGAGTAGGTCTATTATTTTATTTTTATCCCATAATAAACTTTTGCTAATTTATATTGGAGAACTTTTTTCATAAACTATTAGCACACTTAAGGAGTGTCGGGCAGATTGAAAGTAAATTGAAAGCAAGAAAGTCAACTTTTTTGCAAGTGAAAAAATGTATCCACGCCAGCATGCAAGTGAAACACAATGTTTGTTTACAAAAGCAAATTGTTATTAAAAAGTAAAAAAGTGAAGATGATGTGACAATTATTTATATTTAAAATCATATTATATTTTAGATAATTTTTTGGTAACTACAACTGAAAGTATTCACGAATCATGTTCGAAATACACAACTAGCAAGATTAAAAGTGAAAATACAAAATTTAGTGTATAGCACAATAATTTTCAAAAAATAAATAAATATGCAAAGTTCCCTTGCAAAATTAAACCAGTAACTAGAGATTAAGATTAAAAATTAAGGTTTTTGTAATAGTCTCTTACATTTGAAGTATTTTGGAATTAGTTCCCCAAATTATTGAAATCGATAGTAGGTCCCTCGATTCTTATATCTTGTTACTACTATCTATGATAAAGGATTAATTTGAAACAACTTGCAAGAGTTTGAGGATATTATAGAAATTTCAATGATTAAGGGGCTAATTTTGCTACAACTTATAAATATTGAGGGACTCTATGAAAATTTTCCAATAATTTGAGAAACTAATTTACAAATAGTAAAGATTTCCAGTAAATTGGGGAACTAATTTAAAAACAGTAACAATTTAAGGGACTAACATAGATAACTCCAAAAAGAATAGCATATTCCAAACTTAAAATGTTGTCAGCAGCATCCAACAGGAAAAATTCTTAATCAGTGGGGTTAAAATAAAGATTTAATAAAAAATATTATTTTTGGTTAAAAGTAGTCCTTACTACTCCATGTCCATGCGACATCAACACTTTTTAGGGAAAATTGAATTTGCATTAAATCTGACATGGCAAATTTTTGCATTTCATTTTCACATACACTCGCAATCAATCACACCAAAAGTGACAAAAGCGAGTCACTTTCACTATTTCATTTTTTTTAAGTTTAAAAATAATTCTTTCGGATCTTGTGCTCATTAATTTTCACTACATGGTATTATTACTCCTAAGTAGTATTTAGATGATAAAAAAAAGTTCCAAATTTGAAGGCAATTTTTCATTCAAAAAATTGTTTTCTTTTTCCCCCCACACGTTTCTATCATATGATATAGTTTGACAATTTCATATAGTTTGCAATGTTCTTTCGCTACAGTTTCAATTTTCTCAATTCAATGCTCCCCGGATTATATTTTTGACTGTTGATTACATGGACCGTTATAATGAAATCATAGATCTAAACTGAAAATGTACCTTCAATCGAAACTTTCTGGATGCATTTCTTTATTAGATGTATACAAAAAAGATGACGAAATTGAAACATACAAAGAGGTTGCAAAATAGAAAAAGATCTACTACTTGCCTTTCATCCAAGGCAGGACCACAGCAAAGCTGTGAAAAAGCTATTAAGCTCGGATCAGCAGAAAAGGTACTGACCAACTGCTCAATTTTAAATAGATCAGGTTCTGACTTCTTGCCAGCTCTCATGGCAGCATGAGACAGGGATGACCTATAAAGAATCTGTTGTAAAAATTAATCATTTAGCTCAAGAGGTTATCTGCAAAATTAAGTTAAATAATAATAATAATAATAATAATAATAATAACAACAACAACAACAACAACAACAACTAGTGCACCACCTACGATAGAGGGATGACATCAAAACCTATTGTGAAAATTAATTCATCTCGATCAAAATGATGATCTACTACATTTAGTAAGTTAAATAAGGGAAAACCTTGTGCATGGCCTGGGAGAGTAAAGATTGGCATCCATTTGGGTCATCCACATATGAACAAGATCCAACTTTTCGCTTTATATACAGTCGACCACCAGTAAAAGGGTCATTCTTGTCTCCAGGTCTCCACCAACGATTATCTTTAAAGAGAAGTACACACGTTAAAGTTGCACGGTGAACCAGTGAAAAAAAAACGTGACACGTACCTTCAGGCACAAGCGGTATGACCTGAGGCCAATATCTTGGTCCACAAACACGAACGCTCTTCAGCTGCAGCACAAGTAAATTTGTGATAAGCTCACAATTTATCACCTCGAAGAGTATCAGTATTTCTACTCACATATTTTAAGTGTTATGATAGTGATACATCTAGCCTTTAGACCAGCATATTCAAAAGAATGGCTCCAAAACATACCACTGACCGCTCTGGCAGAATGCAGGGAGTCACTTCGCAAAAGCTAGTCTCAGCATAATGATCTGTTTCTTTGATAGTCACCTCAAGGGGTGCATAAACTGGCAAGCCCGTGTCAACATCTATTGTTTGTACCCAACGAGATTCTGCAGCTATAACATATAGATGCCTGAATGCCTAAGAAAATACAGGCAATCAGAATGTTATAAAGGATGAATATGTTAGAAGGAAAAGGAAAAGAAGAAAACAGCCATCTACATAACAAAGAAAACTTTAAGGTACCTGAAGGTGGCAACGATTGTCATTTGGTCCAGTAGGAAAACGAGGGTAGATAGTAATTAACAGTGCAGCAATTGCACTGTTCCTGGTTGAAAATGTTTGCATTCCTCCCCCAAGAAACAAGAACCCAACAGCCAAGCTTACCTAGAACAGCAGTGTTGATAATCCAGAGATGATTTAACCAAATAACATATGTAGAAAGAAGCAAGGATAGCATACATAGTGAAATACTCGTGCTAAACGAGAGATTTGAGATGCCGCAAAGATCATGTCACTAGTCAGATGCTGCTAGGAGCATTTATAATATATTCTAACCTACATTTTTTAAACCAAAAAAAAGTATGGAGGAGTTCCACATATTCTAGCATAACATTCTTTAAACTAAATGGCTGCCCAAAAAAAAGGATCACAAAAATCAAACATGCACTCAGAAACAAAAACAAAACCAAGAAACTTAAGAAAAGCTAATCAACCCAATGGTCGAAAAAGGGCGAACAGCTAGGAATGTTCTTGTTGCAGAATCACAAGGTCTCCTACTAGTTTGAAGCTCTCTGAAGGCCTACTCATCACACACTGACGGTCAGAGCTACACTATTGTCATGGTGCAGAAAACAACGAATAAATAGATAAAAAGACCCAACCTCCATGTTTGATCCCAAAAACTATTCTGCTGCCAAATTGAGAAGATACCACCACCTGAGTCAGTAGACCAATCATGATACAATACCCTAGTTATCTAGGCTACCACTGCTATAGGCAAAACCTACACCATTCTTCCAACAGTTCCATGTTCTGGCTATAAATGCCACGTACAAAGGACATGCTCAAAGAATGGCAGGAACCCACCCAGATACAAAACCTCCATGGTAAACTCCTTAGGAACACAATCTTCAACACACAACAATGAGATTAAAACTAGATACCCCTGCACAAGGAAAGCTTAATCGTCTTATAAGACCTGGACATGGATGATCTGACTATGTTGGATCCAGCGTATTTTTACAGAAGTATCTTCTGATGTTCGTATTCAGCATAAGCCGAGTCAGAATTTTATTATATGTTTCTTAACATAACAAATGACTCTCTTTTCTTGATTAAATAAAAACATTGCTAGGTACCAAATTTAATACAAAAGATTAAATATAAAGATATAGGGTATTAAAATTGCACACTTGACAACCGCCACGCATAAAAAAGGAGGCAATGAGAGACTTACAGCCATCTGTATACCATAATTTATGTTCCCTTCCGCAGAACTTCGACCTCGAAGGTATCTCAGTAATCGAAATGTTTGCAGATGACCAGAGCCAGCCATAACCTAATCTCACAAAATGAAGTGGTTATGCATCAGTAGATATTAAAAATTACCATTTAAAGGCAGCCAACCTGTTGATCAGATAAAAGGTTAAAACTATAAGAATCATTGCCAAAAATACCCAAAACTATATTTTTTTTAATAATAAAAATGCTATTTATTCTTTTCTTGAGTAAAATTTTGTATTGATTAAAAAAACTTTATTTAAATTTACTCTCTGGTGGCAATGAAGAAAAGAAATCTAACATAAATAGTTGAGAAATATTTGAATGACAGGATCATACTGCTGTTTCTATTTTATATGAAAAAACCAGCCTGAAGATGAAAGCAAACACTAAGATGTAACCAAGAAATATTTCATAGGAAATGAAAGCTTCAATAAATGCCAAACGCAGGACGTTTCCTTTTTCAAAATAAAGTTTTGAATAATTGAGCACAGGTGAAGCAGCAAGATTGGGTCTATGAGGAGGCAACAAGTGGATTATAATAAACAAGCTATATATGGTCAGCATAAATAAGTTGGATTTTCAAAGAAATTGGGCAGGTAGAAGAGAGAATGTGCGAGCTGGGTGAAAATTAGATGAAAAGGGGTAATTTAGTATAGAGGTACAGAAATGCATCAGAATACCATGTGACAGGTTGCATGGGAATATTCCACGAATATTCTAATGGCTCACTAACAGAGAGCATCACATGCAATATTTTGAAAATTTAGGGCATCAACGTGCAACACTTTTAAACTTTAGGGTATTTAACTGAAACATTTTACAACTCGAGTCATTTAAGTGAAAATTAAAACAATAGGTCATTCAAGCGCAATTAACCCTATGCACATATAAGTTATAAAAGTTGGGGATGTTGGCATAGTAAACCAACATACCAAATAACATTCGGCCAGGTAAACGGAAGGATTATTAGTCTTCGCACAAACAGAAACAAAAGAGATAAAACCAATAAAATGATCATTGCACAAAACACTAAAATAACAAAAGAGAATAGAGATATAAATCCTAACCAGAGAGAGTGAAAGAACAACGAGATGAAGGCATGTCTCCAGGGTGCCACGATCCACATACTCCAATAATCCCTTTGGTAAATCATTCTTAGAAGCAGCAGAGATATGCTTTATCTGTAAACTTATGGAACAAATTTAACATAAGTTCTAGAAAAAGATAAGAAAATGTACAAGAAAAGGGGGCACCTCATTTAGAAAGTAGATGGCATAGTTGTAAAGCAGCTCTTGGGCATCACCATTTTTTGTGCCAGCGTACTTCAACCCTTTATGAATTACAACATACATTAATAATTATGACATGAATTCATCCGCATTGAAACGGAAAGTTATGCAAAAAAAGTGCATTTTGAAACATAAGAACCAACAATAAAACT